CAAAGTTCAAATTTTATCCTATTACTATCATTAAGCATTTCAAAATTTATCCTATTAATAGCAATATTAAATTCTTCACAGTGTCCTATCAATACCATTCAATGTCTCAAAATTTATTTTATTATAACATTAAATAATTCCAATTTTATTCTATTAGTATAATTAACTATTTCAAAACTTATCCTGTCTATTAATTACAATATTAAGTATGTCCAATTTTATCCTATCAATGTTATCATTAAATATTCCAAAATTTATCCTATTAATTGTATAATTATTTCCAATGTTATCCTATCAATAATATAAATATTTCAAAATGTATCCTATTAATTATGTAATTAAATATTTCAAAATGTATCCTATTGATAATATAAATATTTCAACATTTATCCTATTAATTATAGCATTAAGGAGTTCAAATTTCATCCTATTTGTAAGATAATTAAATGTTTCAACATTTGTTCTATGAATGCTAACATTAAATATTTCATTTTTATAACATTAATGATATGAATAAATATTCAAATTTTATACTATTAATATCACTAAATACTTCAAATTTTATCCTAAGTATATCAATGATACAATTAAATTTTTCAGCTTTTTATCCTATTAATGATAACATTAACTAGTTAAAAATTTATCCTATTAATATAATTATGCCAAATTTTCCCCTAAGTCGATTAAATATTTCCAATTCTTCCTATTCCCAAGTCTTATTACTTCTCCCTTAAGGGGAGAAACCCTAACAAGGTCATTCTCTGAGCCACGTTGTGGTGATGGTGTCACTCCCTTCGCTCTCCGCAGGCCTTGGACAGCAGCAGTGGGAACATTCCACATCCTCCAGCAGGAGTGAGTCCACTCTCCTTCCGTGAGCAGATGAGGCTGTGCAGCATCCTGCAGGCCTTCCACGTCCGCAGCGTCACCATCAGCAGGATGATGAACTACCTGAGCTCCCTCTGAGCTCCCAAAGCTTTGGGGATCAAAGCTAGACTAGATCAAAGCCACACTAGAAGAGAATCCACAAATTTGGAAGAGACCTCTAAGATCATCATTCCAACCATTAAGATGTCACTGCTGGAACCCCCAAACCATCTTCTCCAGTGCCCAATCCAGATGCCTCTTAAACACTTTCAGGGATGGTGACCTCACCACTTCCCTGGGAAATATTCCAGTGCATGAACAATCTGGCAGTGAAGAAATTTTTCCTAACATCCAGTCTGACTCTGCCCTGTCTCAGCTCAAGGCCATTCCCTCTAGTCCTCTCCCTGCAGCCATGGCAGGAGAGATCATCCCACACCTCTCTCCAAGCCCCTCTCAGGGAGTTGCCATTAGGTCACCCCTGAGCTTCTTCTCCAGACTAATCAACTGCAACTCCCTCAGCCCTTCCTCATGTGCTCTAGCCCTTTCCTGAGCCTCACTGCCCTTTCTCAAGGAGCTCCATGGAGCACACAGGAACAGCACCATTGTGCCACCAGCATTGTGGGGACACACAGCTCTCACTCCTCAGGGCTGCTCTGCCCTTGGAGGGATCTGTGTCCCCACCCTGGCCACCAGGAGCAGGGATGAAGTTTGAAGCCTCCATGAGGCTGAAGTCAAGGCAGGTGGAGAGAGGTGTTTCCACAGCTTTGGCCTTTGTGGGTCCTGTTCTGTCCCCTCTGGTCTAGCAGCAGAGACACTTAGTATCACCATAGTATCCTAAGGGGTTGGAATGAAGCTTAGAGATCATCCAGTTCCAACCTCCTGCCCTGGGCAGGGACAACTCCCACCACAACAAGTTGGTCAAGGCTTCATCCAACCTGGCTTTGAATACTGCCAGGGTTGGAATCCAACCTAAGGATGTCTTGGAGAAAAACATTATGACCAACTACCTGCCAGGGGCTTGGAGGCTTTGAAGGGAATCATCTGCTATAGCAGAGGGCTTGTATCAATCATTTGGAGTGAGCTGTGACAGTGCCTTTTCACTAGCATCTTCAACTTACAGATTGCTAGGAAATAAGCTACATGATAGCACCAAAATGTTCTCACCAAACAGTCAACTGGAATTGATCTTTTATTTATTCAGTTTATTTTATGGAAATTGAGTCCTATTTATAATAATCCATTTCCTCTTTTGGCCCTTCCAACTCAGGAATGATTTATTTTCTATTCCATGATTTATTTATGATGTTTTTTACTTATCTATTCTATTTATTGCTTAATAAAATTAAAGTTTGTTTGAATATTATAGTGACCTTTTCTTTCTTGAGAGATACAAGACGAATACTTAAATACTTGGAATATTGCTAGAATGTAAAGGGATATCACATATATATATCTATATATAGAGAGAGATATATATCATATAACATTCAGTTTTGGTGTTTTAAATCCTCTTTGCACCTTGACTGGGTTGGACTGGGCTTGGAGCAACCTGGGCTAGTGGAAGGTGTTCCTGCCCAGGGAAGGGGCTGGAATGAGATGGTCTTTAAGGTCCTTCCAACCCAAACCATTCAATGATTCCATGATCCTATGATCATCTGACTTACATCAGTTGTTTCCCATGGATTTTCCTTCAGACTGAGCCCACAGTCCACCCTCTCTTCAGCAGGTCTGTCCTCAGCCCAGTGGTGACTTTGGCCATGTCCACACAGCTCTCACACTGCCTCCACTGCCCCAGTGCCTTCTTCAGCTCTCCTCTTGCTTGGTTTCCCCAGCTCTACCCTCCCACCTCTTTTAGAGACCCCCAAGCAGCCCCCTCTAATGCTGAGGGGCTGATGGGACCTCCAGCTCTTCCAGATGCCAAGGAGATATCTGCTATCCAGCATCCAAGCCTTGGGGTTACCTTCACACCACATCAGCCTTGAAAATGTAGAACTAGAGCTGTGGCCTCTGCTCCACACACCAAGTTGTAAGGTAGGAGTAACTCACACTTCAGTGCTGTGGTGCAATTCCTTCCACCTGCAAGAACTGGATGAAGCCAAACTGAAGACCTCAAAGCCTCCTGATTTGACCAAAAGCTTCTTGATGCTGATTTGCAGAACCTGAAGTTTTAAGACATTATTGTCTCTTCAGACCATCTCCTACACTGTTCAACCACCCTCACTGCTATAAATTACCATCTGATGTCCAGCCTGGATTTACTCACTTCTGCTTTGGACCTGTGAGTCCTGTTAGAGATTTGGATTTCATTTGGTGTTTTAATTGCCTTGATAGCAACTTCCCCCTGCTCACACCAGATTGAGGAGCCCAGGGCAGCTCCACTGGGGCTGGAGAACCCCTTATGATTCTCCCTCAGCTACTTGCCCCCAAAATGTTCTACTTTTGGAAGAGCCCATGAGGTTCTGAGCACCAGCACAGCCCTTTCCCTTGGCTGTGTATCCCAGTCCCTCAGATGTTGGACCAGCAGAGCACCAAGGCTTGGAGACATGGCCCAGGACATACAACCTTGAGACACTTCATCCAACAGTTAAAACCAAACCAAAACCATCAAAAATCACTTGTAAATAGTATATGTGTTCCTGTTTAATCCTTATTTATTAAAAGTTGTTTTTCCTTTCATAAACATACTCAGAAGAAGATGATCACAAGCATCTTGTGGCTTTAAAAACCAAGATGATCCCAAATTAGGTCACTGCTCTCCTCTGCAAATAACATCCTTCCCAAGTCTTCTCCAAGTTTGTGGAGCCTTCCCAGAGATTTTGGATCCTCCCTTTTGAGTTTAAGCACCTAATCCTATTTAAGTTCAAATGAATCCAAGTAAAAAAAAAAAGTATCAAAAATTTATCATACAAAAAACATCATACACCATAAAAAATGATCTCAGCAAAATTGAGACAGACTATACAGAAAAGAGTGAAAGAAAAACTCCCAGGGAAAATTCCAAACTGCCTGGAGTTCATAGTGGTGATTCCAAGTCTTTTGGGGGTTAGAGAACAGAACCACAGCTTAACAAGGACTGAATGTACATGAATATATACAGTGATTATATACATACAGTGACTAAGCAAAGGAATTTATCTCCAAGTTTAGGATTATTCTTCCCTGATCATGGACATCCATGAAAAATCCAATGTACCTCATGATTTTGGCAGTTCAATATGTATCTTTTTAAGGGGATGAAAGTTTCTACATAACTTTCCTCCCTGTTTTTCCCTGATGTAGATAAAAATCATTCCCAGGTAACAACCATGTACCTGACCAAGGTTTCCTCCAGTGTTCATGTCCTTTAGGAATGGCTCAAATGGGATAAAGCTGGTGGCAGTGGTGGGTTTCCCTGTGGTGGGTGAATCCCAGAGACGTCAGGATCCACTGCTCCTGAAAGACTTGAAAGTGGTTTATATCCATGTAAAATTTCATTCACATTTCTTGCAATGATCCAGCCTAAACTTTCCACTGAGTGGTGACGTCTTGTATTTTCCTTCCTGAATCCCTGTGAGATCCCAGAGAAGCAGAACGGCTGGATGGGGAAAAGCTCAATCCGAGATATCCCAGTGGTTGAATGGGGAAGCTCAATTCCAGTGAGATCCCAGAGCAGACTGGCTGGATGGGGAAGCTCAATCCCAGTGAGATCTGAATCCCAGTGAGATCCCAGAGAAGCAGAATAGCTGGATGGGGCTGCTGAATCCCAGTGAGAAACCTGTGGCTGATTGGGGAAACTCCCCCCACATCCATCCAGCTGTGGCTCCCCCAGCTCAGCCCTGAGCTGAGAAACCTGAGGAAAGGAACACAGAGGCACACATGGGTGATCTGAGCTCTGCAAGTTACTGCAACATTCAAGTTGAGTAATAATTACATTTAAAATATTCAAAGTTGAATACTAAATGTATTAAAACCCCTGAGGTAGCACAAGGCTGTGGCACAGAAGGTTTTTGGGAGGCTCAGAGGGGTGAGGGAGCACAAGTAGCTCTCCACTCTTTGCAGGCAGGTTGTTTCCAGGAAGGATGACTTAACAGTCATCTAGTCCCAAACCCCTCAAAGGGCAGGGACAGTTCTCAGCTCTCTGAACAACTCTGGTTTGCAGAAGGTGAACAGAACACAAGGAGCCCCACAGAGAGGAGTGGGATAACCCATGAGAAATACATACACACACAGGGAGCTGCAGAACCCAACTGCTAAGTCATCCATCAGGGGTAGGTGTTAATTAACTGCTCCTGAAATACATGAGAGTAAAGAACCAAACATCTCTTCTTAGGACTTCCTGAGAAGCCCAGGAAGTGGTTTGGGTAATATAATACTGATCCGCTTGGCCACAACAACCAGGTCATGCTGAGAGTGTTCTCAGCACAGTCAGTGCCAAAATGTTCTTAATTTTATATCAGCTTCTGAAGGGAAGGACTAAAACCATAGAATCATAGAATATTAAGGGATTGGAATAGACCTTAGAGATCATCCAACCCAACCCCTGCCCTGGGCAGGGACACCTCCCACCAGAACAGGTTGCTCAAGGCTTGATCCAACCTGGCTCTGAACACTGCCAGGGCTGGGGCAGCCACAGCCTCCCTGGGCAACCTGGGCCAGTGTCTCAAAAATGCCACAAAAGAGAAAGTCATTGCTGATAACAGAAGGGACACAAGTTTGACCAATGTACTAAACCATGCTCTGGGGATTTGGTAGCATCTCTGATGTGAGTTCTTAGAATCCATGTCAAACCCAGTGCTGGAGTTCAACAACCAGAGCAGGGAGCTGATACCTTGCAGCGTTTGCAGTATCTCATAGGATGCTTTTTCACTGAGAATCCTGTGCAAAGCTTCTGCAGTTGCATTGCTTTGTTCCTTGTCTCTCCACTTGCTCAACACCAGAAATTTCTGCATATTGACTTCCTCCTCTGTGGCTCGAATCTGCTCGATGTCCTTCATCTCCATCTGAAGGCACTCGATGGCAATTTCCCTCCACTGCCGACCCATCTGCTTCGCAATCACCATCAGCTGCTGATCTGTTAAGGGTTTGGCTTCAACTTCATCTGAAAAGACATAGACATTTCTCCTAATATCCAATCTGAACCTCCCCTGGCACAACCTGAGGCTGTTTCCTCTTGTCCTGTTGCTTGTTCCTTGGGAGAAGAGACCAACACCCACCTGGCTGCATCTCCTGTCAGGGAGTTTTGGAGAGGAAGAAGTTTCCATCTGAGACACCTTTTCTCCAGGCTGAGCCTCCACAGCTCCCTCAGCTGCTCCTTGTGCTCCAGCCCCTTCCCTAGCTTTATTACCCTTCCCTGGGCACCTCCAGCACCTCAATGTCTTTCTTGTCATTAGTGGCCCAAAACTGCCCCCAGGACTTGAGGTGAGGCCTCACCAGTGCTCAGCACATGGGCACAACTGCCCTAGTCCCATGGCCACACTACTGCTGACACAAACCAGGATGCTGCTGGCTTTGTGGTTATTAACAGGGTTGATTAGCAGAGGTACCTTGCTGGGTGTTCCTGCTCCCCAAACCCCTTTACAAGAAACTCTCTCCCAGTTCCCATCTCCCTCAGCCACTCCTTGTGCTCCAGACCCTTCCCCAGCGCAGTTCCCTTCTCTGGACACACTTCAGCACCTCAATCTCTTTGTGAGGGGCCCCAAACTGCCCCCTGGACTTGAGGTGCTTCACCAGTGCCCAGCACAGAGGGACAATCACCGCCCTGGTCCCGTGGCCACACTGTTGCTGTTACAGACCAGGTGCCATTGGCCTTTTTGGCCACATACTGACTCATGTTCAGCCACAGTCAACCAACACCCCCAAAGTCCTTTTCCCTGAGCTTTTCCCTGCCCTTCCCCAAGCCTGGAGCATTGCGTGAGGTGATTTGTGGAAGTCTTTAAAGCAGTGAGCTCAGGTTCAATTCACAGGACACAAAAAGCCCCCAAACATGTTATTTTACAGGACACAGAAAGGCTGTACCTGCAGTGCTGCTGGTCTTTTGCTTTTTGCTACAGACCCCATTCTCCTCCAAAATGCTGATAGATGGTTTCCTTTTTTTGATACCTAAAATGGCAAGTGAGAGGGGACGTCACCACTGATGTCACTGCTGTCACATGTCTAGAGCTACAAGAGCAAGAGAGGGACACAGAGAACATGCAACTCCAACTCTGACTTATCTTCAGACTTACTGGCTGTGCTTCTCTTCTGCTCGTTTTTGTTCTGGTCATAATGGATCCAGTCACCTGGGAAACAGTTGGCAAAGGGAACAAAAGGTGAGGGAGGAATTCCCACTGCTGTGCTCTACCTCCAGCAATTCTCAGGCACAGAACAAAGCTCTTGGGTGGATTCCAACCACCGAGCTAAGGTTTTATATAATGAGATCTTTCCCCTTTTATCCAACATGTTGCAGCATGACAAAACATTCAATAGAGATTGGGTATTGTAATGTAAGAACATGCAATATTAAACAATTCTATGTATAATATATGGAATAATATGATATGGAATAATATGCAGGGGAGTTGGAACTAGATGGTCTTTTAGGGTCTTTCCAACTCAAAGCATTCCATGACTAGAGGGATGGAGACCATTTGCTATGAGGAAAGGCTGAGAGAACTGGGATTGTTCAGCCTGGAGGAGAGAAGCTTTGGGGTGACCTAACTGTGGCCTTTCAGGACCTGAAAGAGCCAACAGAAAAGATGAAGAGAGACTATATACAAGGGTCTGGAGTGACAGGACAAGGGGAAATGGATTCACACTGACAGGAAGGAGGCTTACATGGGATATTGGGAAGGAATTCTTCCCTGTGAGGGTAGTGAGGCACTGGCACAGGTTGCCCAGAGCAGCTGTGGCTGCTCCATCCCTGGGAGTGTTCCAGCCAGGCTGGGTGGGGCTTGGAGCAACCTGGGCTAGTGGAAAGTGTCCCTGCCCATGGCAGGGGGTGGAACAAAATGAGCTTTAAGGTGCCTTCAACCCAAACCATTCCACGATCTTCTGAAGCCCAAGGACTTACTCTCTCGTAGCTTTGCTTTCCAGACAGTCGCATCCGACTCCAACTCAACCAGAGACAAGGTGAAGTCATCAGGTTTCTCCAAGTACACTTCAATGTAACTCTTCAGTTTCAACAGTGATCCATCAACAAATTCAATTTCCTATACAACACGAACACATTAAAAGTAAATATTTACCCAAACACGCACTAAAGAGAAGTTATTTGGCTGTTGGCACAGATTTGAGCCCAACTCCAACCTCTACAGGGTTTTGCTGTTGTCAGGATTTCACACCAAAGTTTTAATGGTTCTAAGAGGCAAATGCTTTCTGTGAATGTAAAAAATGCTCTTAATGCCAGAGCAGGAACACACAGAAAAAGGCATTTTGTGCCATATTTATAGTGAAACTGCAATGCATCAAGTGAGGGTTGTGAAGGGACCTACCTCAGGAGTTATTTCAGCTTCTGGCTCACAAACCAATCTGTACCTCTTTCCATTCTGGAGTAATTTTTGGCAGACAGGGGGTTTGTCAATTTTCACAAATTTCTTATTGGAGTGTTTCACAGCTCTGGAGATATCCTGAAAAGGAAAAACACAAGCCCAAGGTTATGACTTCACAGTTACTCACTTGAGTCAAGGAATTCATATATAAAACCTGTGTTTATGTGGCTCCCTGGGCTGTTCTCTAGCTCAAACTCTATAGCGCAGCCACTTGTTCCACACAGCAAACCTTACAGAAAGCTGTGTGCTAATGACCATGCTCAGAAACCATCAATAAACCTCTTCAGCTGTTTTGCATCATGGGTGAAATGAGATAGAAGAGTTTGCAACCTGAATAAAAAGGCTATCTGTCACTGTCCTCACTGTATTAAGGTAAATTAAAGTCATGTCCCTGATACAGCTCCTGCCCAGACAGATAAGAATCACCAGTGGAAACCTAATTTCCTCATTATCTTTCCATTGTAGAGTAATGCAGTGAATTTTGTAGAGCTCTAATTTTATCCTGGTTTATTTTCATGCTCTCTATTTTCTCTACAGACTTGCTCTGTTCTCCTCTAAGGTCATGAAAGGGGGTTGGAGAGAGGTGGGGGATGGTCTCTCCTGTCATGGCTGCAGGGAGAGGATGAGAGGGAATGGCCTTGAGCTGAGACAGGGCAGAGTCAGAGGAGATGTTGTATCATAACATCTAAATCATGCCATATCATCTATAGGTATTTTCAGGTGCCTTCTATAAAATAGATGGAAAAAACACAAGAGGAAACCACACTATGAAGAGGTTCTGAAAATCCCCTGTGTTAACAGACATTTCTGTCAATACCTGCAGATATTGGAGAGGTTAATTAGTGTTAAAAAGGTTGACACAGGAACGTGCTTAGGCAGCAGCTTGGGAGTGAGCATGTTGACTGGGATAATTACTTAAATATCAAGCCCTAACTTGGCAGATCTTCTTGGTGTGAAGTCTCATTATAGACCTTGCATAGAGAGATATATATCTTTGCATGCAAACACTGGGATAAGAGAAGAGTATCCCTGAAATCCTCATCCTTGAAAGTGTTCAAGGCCAGGTTAGACGTGGCTTAGAGCAACCTGGGCTAGTAGAAGGTGCCCTGCCCATGGCAGGGGGTGGGACTGGATGGTCTTTAAGGTCCCTTCCAACCCAAACCATTCTATGATTGTCTGAAGCCCAGAGACTCGCTCTCTTGTAGTTTTGCTTTCCAGACAGTTACATAGGACTCAACCAAGGACAAGGTGAAGTCATCAGGTTTCTCCAAATTCCTTTCAATGTAACCCTTCAGTTTCAAGAGTGATCCATCTACAAGGTCCCTCCCAACCCAAACTACTCTGTGATTCTCTACCCCATCCACACAGCATCCCCATGACCATGCCCATAACTGTGGTACCTCCATGTCACACCACCCTCCACCCCACCACAAGCTGTACCTTTATAAAGGAGTCATTGTTTGTAGCCACATAGACCCGAAAGGACAAGGAGGGATGTTCATCAATGACTTTGTAGAGGATGACAGCACCATGATACTGCACAGGCTCCTGGCTCTGCAGGAGAGGTCCCACTGGTGACAGTGAGCTCACCACCCACTTGACGTGCGATGCCGAGTAGTCAGCGGAAGGTTCGATGGCTGCTCCCTCCCCTTTGATGTGTAGCACCTTGAAGGCCATGCCAGCACCATGATCTGTGGGGATACAACTGGCTCAGCACCTGCTGCAGGGAGCTGGAAGCCCCACACCCCCATGGTCAGCACTCACCACCGAGGCAGAGGGAGTGGGGGAACTGGATGGAGGTGAGAGCAGGAGCTGAGTCGCAGCACACGTCGAAGAGAGGACCTCCCACAATCCATGGCTTTTCCACCAGGTTGGCATATTTGCTCCAGGATAAGAGGGAATACATGATCTTGACAGCGCCTGTCACCTCAAAAATCAAGCCTGTGAGGCTGCACTGGTAAGTGCCCTCTGCATCCAGCTGCATCCTGCAAGAGACACCTGTTAGTTTCGTTGCCAGTACCAAAAAATACCAGGGAAATGTGGTTTGTGAGGGATAACAGAGCAACTCCCTTCCCAGCAAGCACACAGCACTTTATCTGAATAGCACAGGAGCCCCAACAATGTTGTTTTCTCTGGTCTCTACATCTTAGCTGTCACTGGACTGTTAAAAACTGGCAAAGGCCCAGCCAATATATGCAAATAGCTGTCATGAGTATTTGGCATAACATTTCCTGCACATGAGGCAGCTGCTCCCACACAAAGGGCTCAGTTTCAGCATTGGAGCCAACTTCATACATGGACAACATCAACATCCAACATGGGAAACACCAAAGTATACACAGACACCTCAAACACCACACACTGGTGAGAATTCCAAGGCAGAGAGAGGAAGAACAAGGCATCCAAGGGAAAATGCAAGGTGAGGGCAAATGGGGAAGATGAGTATCCCTTGGAACCAGGGCAAGATCCCTCTTGTGTGTCCAGTCTAAAATAAGCACATCAAAATGTGCCTGATGTTAATTACTGCAGCAAGACGAGGCAGGAAACCTTCCTAAGAGCTTTCTTGGAGCAGGATCTGGAGGTAGCACAGACAGCTGGTCTACACTTCTCATTTTAAAGGATTTGGGGCATCTTCCACTCTAAGTCCAAATGGATTTGTGCAGCAAATTAGCTGTTTTCCTGACTTAAACCTAAGACTGAAGCATCTTGATGGGAACAAGGTAAATTTATACCCATTAGATTAAAAACATCCATACACAAATTGTCCTCCAGCAAGTCTCCTAGGGGTCACTTGCTCCTTCTGCTCCTATAAATTTAGAAAGGAAATACAGCTTTAAAAAGGTGCAGAGAGCAGAACTGCAATGTGCAAATTATCTCATGCAAACTAGTGGGTTGGGTATCTTTTACAAACCTACATTTCCATTTCTGCAGTGCTCACAGGGTGGCAGACAGCTCACTGCTAGGGAGAGAAGAGGAAGATTAGCTCATTAGAAGCAAAATAATTACACAGTCAAGGGAAAAAAAAAAACCCTCAGGAGATCTGTTCCTACCTGATTCATCACAGCATGGTGAGGATTCCTTCTCCTCCTGTTCTTCATCTAGAAAAAATAGAAATTTGCAGCAAAGATCTCAGTCTCCAGTGGGTTTCTGCTCCCACATTCATAGAATCATCAAGGTTGGAGGAGACCTCTAAGATGATCAAGTCCAACCATTAACCTGTCACTGCTGGAACCCTTAAACCATATCCTCCAGCACCAGATCCAGATGACTGTTAAACACCTCCAGGTCTGGTCACTCCATCCCTGGGCAATATTCTAGGGTCTGAACACCCTAACAGGGAAAACATTTATCTTAACATCTAATGTTAAGTAATGTAATGAGACCTTTGTCTCATCTTATGACCATTCCCTCTAGTCCTCGAGGTCACCTAGAACAACTCAATTTCATTTGCTTAACTTCCTAAACACCCAAGGAGAACATTCCCCAGACTAAGTCCATGCAGGCTTTGCACAGCCTGGGGATGAAGCTGAACATTAGGACACAACTTTTGTTAAAAGCTCATCATTTGCCCAAACTACTGGAGATTCTGTCAAGGGTTAAGAAAAGATTTATCCCCAGGATGAGCCTCACTGTGCCAAGGACAAAGTTCGACCACTTGGCACAAGCTGTGGCAACAGGGAGAAGGTAACCACACTGTTTGCAGCGTATTTTCCCCTAAAATGATTTGGCAGTGCCTGAATCTTCCTTGCTAATCCCCAACAGGACAGAACTCGAGCAGAGCTGACACAACAGGAAAAAGCTTGTAGCCTGAAGGGTGGATTTTGGAGAGGGCAAGAGGCAGAGCTACTGTGCCAAGCACGAGGGCAGGCTGCTTCCCATCCCACCAACACTAGCCAGCAGGGAGGCTATCCCAAAGCCATCCTGGGACATCAACACCCCTCTGAGGTGGGAGAGGCAGAGAAGGCATTGCTGCAGCCTGGAAAACATCAACCAACAGCAGCGCTCTGGCTGCTTTCCCAAGCCACTGCTATTCCAGTCTCCAAGCTGCAGCAGGATAACACTGGGAACACCCACACACATGGAAGCTCTTGCCCCTACTCCTCTGCTTCCTGGGGATGCTTTCCAACAAGTCCTCCAAAAGACATGGAGGTGACAGCTGGGCTAGCTCTAAATCCCTCCTGTCATCCCAATCACCCCCTCGTTATTGCTTATCCGAGTTGGCTTCCTCACACCATGCAAGACAGCTAAAAGGACACAATAAAGCCACACTCACCTGCCCTTCCTCCGTCTGACTCCTCCTCATCTGATGAGAAAACACGTTGTAATTAGTTAGCTCAAGCCTATCAGCCTTGCACAAAAGACTGGTGTTATTCTGGTGGTGTAAACCGTAGAAGCACAAACCCAAAGGCTTTTCATCAACAGCAAACGCTTCCTTTCATTCTTTTCCAGCCCATCCTGTTTTGCCAGTTTTGTTGCCAACTTTTAAGGAAATTTATGGCCTCTTGGTGTTTGGATTAACTACTGAGGTATAAAAATATCTGTGGGTATTGTGTCTGCAAGGTGGAGGCAACACAAGCTGCTGCTCTTTGATTATCGATAGGAAATCAGCAGCTCCCAAAAATATCCTTGGGAAAGCAATCCCCGAGTTAAGATTCTGCAACAGCTGTGGGGCCATTCCCAGGGAAAGCAGCTGGTTTTAACTGAATGGACATTTTCCAAAGAGAGATAATAGGTAAATCACAACATTACACTCACCTGACTCCTCTTCTGAGCTGTTGCTGGAGCTGCTTTCAGAACTGGCTCCTCCTTAACAAAACAACACCCCATTAGGCACAGGTAGAATGAAGCAAAGCAATGCCACAGGTGGGGAAAAGGATACAGCCAGAGGCTTAAATACATCAGGTCAGTCAGCAGGTTAGATAACATAACAGAGCCGAAAAAATACTGAGGCAAAGAGGAGCAACAGAGCATCAAATCCCAGCACTGGGGAGAACCTGAGGTCACCCAGACCCTTTTCAAGGGTATCTGTGGTGTTCAAGATGCTTAGTTTTAATGTTTTATACAATGGAACTATTTTGGAGCTTCACACAAAGCACATCCCAGCTCACCCAGTTGAATGACGGTTTGTCCATAGGTGGGAGAAGCAGCAGTGAGAGCTGGTGTATCTCACCAGGGGAAATTTGGGGTTCAAGGCCAGTCACACCACCCTAAGGGTGAGGAAAACCCTCAGCCACGTGTGTGCTCACCTGCTGGGTGCCTCTCAGCCGAGCACTCTCCCTCTGTGCCACTGGCTGTCAACTCTACAAGAGAAAAGCAGGCAAGGAAACCAAGCTTGTAAAGGATTTAACTCTTCACTGGGTGGGTTTTTTTTGTACCCACCAGGTCAGAGAAAGGGAATATATAGCAAAGGAATAAGGATTTAAAAAAATCATCATAAACAATCAAAACTCTCGTGCATAAATTAAGGCTTTACACCACAGTGTTTAAAAGCCAATTATCAAGTTGCCATTTCCATTGCAAGGGACAGGCATTCCACAAAATTCCTGTACCTCTTTCATCCGAAGAGAGGGACTCAATTCCGCTGGAAGACAAAAGAGAATGCACATGAGCAGATCTGCTGATCCTTTCCCACACTTCCACACCAGCAGCATTCACCCACCTCCCCACCCCCTGGCATTGTTCCCAGCCTCCGGCCAGGGAATCACAGCCTGGGAGGTCACTTAGGACAGGAGGCTGGTGATTAAATACTCATTTTCTCCAACATCACTCCTGGCCCTGGCTCTTTCCTGACCCTTTCAGGCACTCCTGGCTCTGCTGCACATGATTCCCTCCAGCACTGGCCCCTTTTGCCAAGCACCAGGACTGTGCCAGGCTCCCATTGGATTTGGCAGCAATCCAACCAGTCTCCAGCATGGCTTGGATAAACACAGAGTGGCTTGGATGTGGCACATTACTCCAACTGACTCATCACCCATTTGTGGCCCGTGGCAAATTCAGAACAACCTTCTGCCTCCTGTCACCCTTGGAAAAGGGAAATCTGCTGCTTTCATCATTTAGGGGTAAAGATCCAGGTTGGAAACCTTTCCCTGAAGCTCAACAAAGCACATCAGTCCTGAAGTCTTACCAAATAAAAGTTGTGCTGAGGAAGGGAATGGTCCTGGGCACAATCACCATAAACCAGCATCTCCTGGTGGCACCAGCAATATTCCAGCCCTGCCAGTGGACAGCTGGAACAACATCCCTACCCATGCAGGCAGGGAAAGAACACCTATGCCTTTGCTTCTTGGAGGTAGGTGAGTGCCACAGTGATGCTGGAGATGGTGAAGCCAAGATGTGGGAGTTGCTTTTTAGCAGCTCAGCTCAGGAGGCTCATTTTGTCCATCCTGAGCTGCCACTGTGCATCCACCACCTGCCTGCTCCAGGGATGCTCCCAAGGGATGCACCTGGAGTGAGTGGGCACCACTACGGGGGTTAGAGCCCATGAAAGAGTCATGTTTGGCACCCAAACACAAAAGTAAATAATAAATGAATAGGTGGTAATGGCAGAGGCAGGAAAATCAATCCCTAATGAGTGGATTCCTGAGGAACTAGGGAGGCAATGCAAGCTGGGAGGGTCCTGGGCATAGCAGAACAGAGTGGGGTGTTCCATGGTGGAGCTGGAAGAGTTTGTTGATCAAGGGCAGGAGGAACTGGGAAAGACTTTCCCCCACGGGAAATTACACAACAGTGTTTGTGCTGCCAAACTGTATCTTAAAAAAAGATAAATAATTATATATCTCTGCAATATTTGGACAAAGCCTGGACAGACCCCAGAGACAGCGGCCAAGTGTTGTTTGTGCAACCCTTCAACCCTTCCACCAAGTGCTGGCTTGCTGAATTAGGTCTGCTTAAAGCAGGTTTGGCTTCTAACCCGCTCACAGCTGCATTTCCCTCCTCCTGAGCTGTAAAACACCCTCCGGAGGAG